CAATCTGGGAAGGCTGGGGACTGGTTGGACCCCAGAGCAGCTTGCATTGCAGGTGGGCTTCATATCATGGAATTTCACAGCATTTCTCTCAGRTTTTAGAACCAGAAGATGTCTAAGAGAATTGCTTTTAATGAGCTATGTTGTAGGTCTTCTCCATAACAACAAAGTGAAGAAAACTGTATTGGAGAGCAGGGCTGATCTCTCTGCTTCTCAATGCAATGCAGCTTCTGACAGCTCAGGACACTTTTCTCAGCTGTGTGCCTGACTGCCATGCTGCAGGAATTGTTATTTATTTCTCTGAAGCCACTGAACTTGACCTTTGCAGGGCTGCAGTGATAGGCTCCATGGAAGGGCCATGGGGTCCAATCAATCAATAACTATTTTTTCCTCTGCACCTGTGAGCTGCCCTTTGGATGGGAATAACTTGAAAAGATTTGATCTTCAGTACAGAGTGAGGTCTGCTCCTCATACAGACCATGTAAATTCATTGTGTTTTTTGAATGTTGTGAGTAATGATACAATTCTGAAGGGTTTTTCCTTGTCCCTGACTGGGACATTTTAACAAAATGTCGTGGATTTACAGAAYAAAGGGATGATGTTTAAATGGGGACTAAGACTGGGGAGTTTCTATAGATGGCATCTGGATCTGGGACACTGCCTGTGTTTATATTGTGTAATGTATTGCCAATTCTGGCAGCACATGCAGTGTTTACTCAGTGTGCTGCAGAGCTGAGATCCCCCTTCAGGAAGGTTTTGAGCCCTGATGTGCCTCCCTCCTTGCAAGGCTGCCCGAGCAGGGGTTGCACAAGGTGGGCATGTCAGCTCAGCCCCAGCCTGGCATCTCTGCAGCAGGATCATGTGCGTGTCCCCCAGCAAACACCTACTGAGGCTTCCTTCTGAAACGTGGATTTCAAACTGTGAGATCTCAGCACAGGATATGAGGCATTAATGCTTGGCCAGAATTAATTCTGACTTGACACTCTTGGAACCTGCCCCTGCTTTTCCACTGTTGGACCTGGGGTGGCAGGACAGGAATCACAGWGCCAGCAACTCTGTTTCTTTGGGARTRCTCAGGATAGATTGTCCATAACGGAAGGTACCAGCCTGTATTGTGGCATACTTGCTCATTTTGTGTTAGGTTTGACTCATTCTTTCATTGGCAGTTTTTGTTGGCCCTTCTTAATTTTTATTTGCCTTTGCTGTGACTGTCAAATAAGGGCCACCCAGGTTAATGGTGCTTATCATTTTCAACTGAGAAGTAAAAACCTATATTTAATGACCAAAATATTGTGTGAAGTGTGTCACWGTACTGGCAATATTGTGCTGCAACCTGTCCTGTTATCATCTTGACGCCTGTGTGTGTTCATTTCTCTCCTACTCCTTGTCATGTCCTCAGTGTCCTGGTGCTTCAGCACTGCAGTGCCAAACTGTGGGAAGGAAAGAATGTAAAAATTCATGTCTCATTAGGGTTCATCCAGATGGAAGGGAGAACTGGGACAAAACCCAACTGGAATCTTTGTGAAGATCAATGTTGTGCTCTAAACAGATTATCTGTGTCCTCTCTAACTAACCTTCCTGCCCCTGTGCTTCCATGGCCGGACTTGGGCTTGACTTTGAGATGCAGAGATCAGGGCAAGCATCCTTATGCCCTGAGAGCTGGAAAAGATCCATCATTACAGTCCATCTGAAATGATGAAATTTATCRAACTTCATCTTGCACTAAAAGCGTTTGCAATCATTGCATTTTCTGATACTGGCAACATAGTGTTTAGCAAAGTAGTGGTGAACCATATGCAGGCTATGAAAAAAAAGGTCGATTATATTCCATATTTTTTATGAAAACTATTTAGGGTAGAAAACTTTTGCTCTCTCTTAAGGAACAGTCCTTCTGGAGCTGAAACCTGTTCACATGTTGCTGCCTTCTCTAGCAGATAGATCTTTCCACAGTCACCTCTGGCAGGTGTTTTTCAGTTGTGCTTTGTTTGTTTTTAATAATAAACCATTTCTGTAGGGAGACAGTGAYCCAGACCAGAACAGGCAGGAGGATTGTGCCCATCCTGCACCCACAGCTCCCTGACTCCATGTAATAATAAGGACAGGAGATTTGTGTGCCCATGRCCAGCGAATTCACAGGCACACTTTCCCAGCTGCTAAAATCCTGCAAGGTTTGTTCCAAAGCAAYGCTTCTTGCATAACCAGGAAGGAATTAATCAGCTTAGGAAACTTGTGTTCAAGGTTTTCTKCACAAAATAGCCGAGATAGGAGTGCAGTCAATGTTGTAAAAGCAAGGCAAAATAAACAGGCTTGGGAGAAGGACAAGAATTTGAAGGGTAAAACCACGGGGCAGGTGCTGAAACGTGGGGAGTCAGTGGGAGGAGAGAAGAGGAAAGGGAGGCAGTGCAGCAAAGGCGGGAGAAAGAACTGCAGGGTGATTATATCCGATCAGAATATCCCGTGGAGCACCAGACGCTGCGGTGAGGTTCTACTTYGGGAATTTGCAGCTTCGGGAAGGAGCCGGAGGTGCCGGAGCCGCCCCCGGGCGGGCGATGCTGTCCCGGGAGTGCCCTCTGCTGTG